GGTAAGGGCTAGGAATGTGGCCTAGTGGTAGAGTGCTCGCCTAGCATGCATGAAGCCCTGGTTCAATTCCTCAGTACCACATACAAAGTAAAGGCTGGAAGTGGTACTATATGGCTCAAGTGGTAGAATACTAGCCTTGAGCAAAAGAAAGCTCAGGGACAGTGCCCAGGTCCTGAGTTCAAGCCCCAGGACTGGCAAAAAACCAAATCAAACCAAAGGCCATAAAAAGTAAGGGTAAGCAAAATGTCTGTACACAGAACTGTCATAGTTTTTTTTTTCCAACTGGTTTTTGATCCATGGCTGTCTGAGCCTAGAACTCATGGAAGGAGGGCTAGCTGTAGCCTAGAACTCATGAGGAGACAACATTATGATTTTGTGATTAAGGTCACGAAGAAGACAGCAGCTGACTGAGTTCAGAACAGCAAGGGTGTTATTCTGCATGTGGCTGGTGCGGGAAGTTATTACCAGTATCGGGTTTGCCAGAGATGTTTGGGGTTTAGCCTGGTGATGAGAAAAGGGGTTGGGATTTCAGAAATAAAAAAAGAAAAAAATGGATGAAATATACAGAAGATGACCCCAGACACTGGAGGTGTGGGAGATTTGCCTTCTGGGAGATGAGTCACGGCAGTGTTAATTGTCGGTATAGATATGAAGCCCCTCCTGTGAGTCAGGCCCTGCTTATGGTTATAGGAAATAGTTATTGAAATCAGTGATAATAGTTGCTTCTTATAGCCATCTGGGAGCTGTAGTGTTGTTATACTCATTTTGTGTCTACCAAGAAACTGAAATACAGTGAATAACTTGTGACTCAGGTGTCTACTGCAAAACTGGCATTGATATTAATTCAAGTCTCCTAAGTCTTGAAACTGTGTTCTTTTCTATACAGCTTATAGCAGTGAAGAAGTGACTCATGTTAAATATCAACTTAGCCTTACTCTTTGGTCTTTTTCTAATTTTTTAATTTTTTTGTCAGTCGCAGGGCCTGAACTCTGGGCCTGGGCGCTGTCCCTCAGCTCTTCAGCTCAAGGCTAGTGCTCTACCATTTGAGCCACAGCCCACTCCCGGCTTTTTTCTGCTTATGTGGTGCTGAGGAATCAAACCCAGGGCCTCATGCATGCAAGGCAAGCACTCTACCACTGAGCCACCTTCCCAGCCCACTTTTTGATTCTTATAATAATATAATAAATCTTATATAATACTGCAGTCATTAAAATGTATTTTCAGAGAGGAGCCTTGCATGTTGAACTTTCCAGTCAGATGATATTGACACGGTTTAACTTTTTGTATAATGTTTAAAAGTATGCCTACTTGGATAAAATGACCTACTCATTAAATTTTCAATATCTTTGTGCTTACTGAATTTACCAATAATCATTTTTTGTAAAGCTTGGTAAAATTATTTATAAGTTTTGTATGCAGAATTATTTTACTCCAGAATCATTGAACTCAAGGCTTTTTGTTCTTGCTTAGCTCCTTTTTTTCCATTTAATTTCTTTATTCTCCAGTTAAGAAAATTCATTCTTATAGAAGTGATTTCTGGAGTTAGTTAAAATAAGCTTGAGTATTGTTCATCTACTGGTAAAAATAGTGATCTATTCCTTTGAGCAAGAAAAATGTTTCTTCTTGTGGATCAAATTCTGCCTGCTACATTCTGTTCTTTCCCACCCTTATTTCCTTGTTTCTTGTCATACTATCTTTCTCAGTTAACATCAGGAAGACAGCCTGCTTTTTTGTATTATAAACTATTATTCTCAGGGATTCTATCTTGAGTATAAAAATCATTAAAATTGATGCTGAGAGAGAGAAATCGCAATTTTCTTTTAGCTGTTTGGCTCTTTTACTTCAATTGGTGAGATTAATTTATAGAATGGGAAGAAGAAATGAACAAAAACTTCATGCTATCAAAGAATTTATGTCTGTGAGTTGTCTCTTGCCTTGCCAATCTAAGAACACCAACACAGCATTTGTGAAGTCAAAGAGCTTCAGGTGTAGACTTGCTGTACTCACTCGCTGGCTGATTCTGAAACACAGATGGTCATTAAGTTAAGACAGAAAAGCTTGAAGGATGTCAGCTCCAAGTCTGGGCTCTGCTCTCCTTTGATACTGAAAGAAAATGGAACAGTAGAATGTGCTGAGCTAGGCTTAGGCATGGGACTATTTGCTGTATCTCTTTCACTGGTGGAAGGTTACGTTCTTAATCTGATTAGTAGTATATAATTGATATGTTAATGTCAGACATCTCTTTGGGATTTGATCTTGTTGACTAACCTCAGCAGAGCCTCTCCTGGACCGAGGCTCTAGGCTGGGGTTGCTCTCTGACCCTGGTCTGTGCTGCCTGACGCACTCACTTCCCCCTCGGAAAACTGTAAAATTCACCATTTACCCTGAGGGTCGTGTTTGGGCTCCTGGTATACTGTGCCTTCACTTATAAGATAGTTTTTTCTCTAGTGAGAGATAGCTTGCTGTTTTATGTCGACGCTGCAGTGGGCATTAGCTCTCGTGCAGTCTTCTGTTTTCTGAAATGGTCCAGCTGTGAAAGCGGCCTGTGGTCTGCCGAGCCCTGGGGCCACTTGGCTACACAGTGCGTTTACAGAGCCGGGGCCTGTGTAGAACAGTGACACTAACTCCGTTCTCGTTGCCTTACGGGCGCGGGTGGCTGGGTTGGGGACAGGGGGAGGGTGCTGCCCCCTGGTGTCGGTAGCTAGCTAGGATTTATGCCTTTGGGAAGGCAAAGTGCCTCTAGCAATGGGACCAGCCCTGAAGCGCAGTGCTTGATCTGAGCACAGCGAACAGACTCGGGCTGGCACGGGCAGCGGGTGGGCACGGAGGCTGTGGCCGTCCCCGGGGACCCCGAGGTCTCTGCAGGCCACTCTGGGGGCTGAGTCTGACGCTGAGGAAGGGTGGACGCCCTTGAGGGAGTTGAGTGGATCCACGACTGGATTCCACGTCCGAGCTGGAGCCCAGCAAGGGTGCGGGTGTAGAGAGGGTCACACAGATGCCATGGGTGCTCGCAGTCATCTGCCAGGGACGACTGGACAGTGGTGACAGCGGCCCTGGCCAGGGCCCGTCAGTGCAGGCAGGGACAGTGACTTTCTTTGTGTTTGTCACAGGCCATGTAACAAAATTTCCCAGTCCTCAGTCGTTCGGTGAATGGAAGGATCAACTGCCGTTTCTGGTCCTGCACGCCTCTCGCTTCTTTTCCCTCTTTCCCTTTCTCGGTATCTTGTTCGTCCCTTCATTCGGTCTCGTGTCTCTCTGGGGACTCCTGACTGCTCTTGTTCTTTCCCTGTGGCCACTTCTGCCCCAGTCCTGGTCAGGGCAGTGTGCCGTCCTCTGTCCTCTCTCAGCGAGGCTCTCGGGCCGGCCTCAGGACCCTGCACTCCGCTGTCCGGGCGCCATCGGCTTCTGAGTCCTGCAGGGGTCTTTGCACTGCCACAGGGCTGCCAGGCAGCCTCACTTCAAGAAGTGACTTTTCAAAGAACTCCCCCCCCCCACCACCACCACAGGTTCAAGATCATGAGCTCAAATACATGTATGCATGTTCGAATGTGAGTGTATTGAGTTGATGGAATGGAGGATCAAGCTTTGTCTGATCAACTGGCATCTGGGGCCTTGCTTGCTGATTTCTTTTCACTATATCTAACACAGTAGGCAGAGAGAAGATGCAAAAAGCCTAAAGCAGGATGTGTTTAGCTTCTAGGGCCTGACACTCAGATTTCTTCAACTTCTTCCTAGAAAACAAAGGCAAGCCTCTTAGATTTGTCACGCCTTTATTGAAGGTTACTTTAATGACATCCACAAACTGCAGGGTTTGATTTTGTTGGACCACCCTATCTTCTTGGTTTGTTTTCCGAGGAGCAGAGACAGCCTGGAGCTCTGGGCCAATTTCCCCATAGCTCTGAGCCAGGAGGAGGCTGCCCGGAGCCAGGGTGCCATCCGAGGTGCCCCGCCTGAGACCCAGAGTATTGCCCATCACCACTGCAGACTTTTGATTCTGCATTTATCCTGATTCTGCAGCATCCTCCCGCTCACTGCTTTCCCTTGGACACGAAACTGGATTATTCTGAGCTCTCCTTAACACTCAGGATAGTGCTTTTTATTTACTTTATTACTACCAGAGAGATGTTCATAAAGTGCAGGGGATTAGGATGAGGTACAGGCAGGAAGGGCATGGACCTGACTCCTGCTCCATTATAGTTACACTGCTAGGATTACTTGTCTTAGGATTGTCGATTACATTGCTGCTTGTTCAAACTCTCTGCTTAGCTAAACACAGCGGTTCATGAATGCAAGGCCAACCTGGCAAGACTTTGTTTCAAAAGTCTTTGTTCAAAAAAACCAAACCCTACTAAGCTTAATAAATGGCTAAATTTTATGTTTTATAATCTTTGGTTTTATGAATGATGCAATAATTTATCAACAATTCAGTTAAATTTGTCTACACTGTAAAAAATAACTCAGTTAAACCTGTTTTTAATTTGGGCACTGTAATTGATATTCCTTTGAGAATCAAGCAGCAAAACCTTTCACTCAGGGGCTGGGAAGGTGGCTCAGTGCTGGAGCGCTTGCCTCGCATGCATGAGGCCCTGGGTTCAATTCCTCAGCACCACACAAGCAGAAAAAGCTGGAAGTGGCGCTGTGGCTCAAATGGTAGAGCACAAGCCTTGAGCTGCAGAGCCAGACTAGTGCTCTTGATAGAGAATGGGGCTCATGAGAAATTTCCACATAACTAGGTGGACAGGGATGTTTTTAAGCGCGGGGCGGGGTAGCATGTGATTGCCTGTCATTTCTAGGCTGATCTTTTGCTGTGACATGCTCCTGCATCTCATTCTAATGAAATGTTAACATGGCGAACTAACGATTTCCCAGAAACAAGTTGTTCAAAGGCAGTCATTCTTTCTTCAGTGAGATGATGCATTGCTGAGCTGAGCAGAACTGTCTGAAGCTGTGTCCTCCTCTTCCCCCATTTCACCTTCACTCTTGCTGGTTGTCCGTTCTAGCCATACAAGACCACGTCGAGCTACAAGGCCTTTGCAGCCATCCCTACAAACACCCTGCTCCTGGAACAGAAGGTCAGTACGGGCTGCCGCACCGAGTGCTTGGAGTGGTGCTGAGGTCCACTTTGTCATGTGTTCTCAGACTTCGGTTGGGAGGATCTGTGTTCTAACATTTCCACGCTGTTGGTAGTTTAGGCTGGTGAGGTGAGAGAGTCTTGGTAGAAGTCTCCAAAGTTGTTCTTGGAGGCTGGATATGAACTAGGTGCTGGTTAGCCTCCAGTGAAGGCAGTGTGGAGAGCTAGCCTCGGGCAAGGACAGATCCTCTACGGAGGAATTTTAGACAGAGGCGCTACTCAAGAGCTTCCACCTCTGTCCGTGTGCGTCCAGAGTCGTGGTGAAACAGGGTGCCGTAGCAGCTCCACCGCGGGGGCCATTGACTGGCTGGCCCTGACGGGTGGAGCAGCCCTCAGCCCCCCCAGCTGAGGGTCCATTCCCGCCAGCCACGGACCCCACCTGTGAGGACAGGAAAGAAGGCCGGGCTCACGCCTGCACACCGAGCCTTACACAGCTCTAGCAATTTTATTTTGCTACTAAAATGCACCGTTAATTATAAAATCGCAGGATGTTACTTCACTCGGTAAATAAATGATCGTTTCTAGCTCAGTAAGCCCCTTACGTAGGCTCAAGTGAAACCCAAATGCAGGGTTCCTGTCGAGTCAAAGTGAAATCAGTCACTCAGGCTGTAAAATTATCCGTGCTCTTTCTATGGTGATTTATTTAGACTATTTATCCCTAGTGCATTTTCCCCTGGGTGGTTTTAGCACCTCCAAGGCTGTTGTGGTCATTTATCAGAATGCAATGCTCTTAGCCGAGGGGTGAAGCTCCCTTCCCGTTCTTTCATTGTGATCTGGGAAACAGAGCGCAGTGACGGTTAGCGGGAAGTGCTGGCTGGTGTAGGTGAGCATTATGTGGACCCCGTTTCTTTAATGCGTGTTCCTGGCAATGATTCCCCGTGACCCGCACGTGATCTGGAATCCACGCTGTGCTTGTTGAAGTGTGCGAGGGGCGGCCCTCTCTCCCTGAGGTCCCTGTAGGAGGGTCCAGCTTCCTTCCTCCACCTTTTATCACTTGCTAAAGGCTGCGCCATGTCAGGAGGTGCGGTAGCATCACGTCTTCCACTGCCTCCGGTCTCCTGTCCTGAGCCATCCGAGTGAGCCACCATGGCCCAGACGCTCTGGTGACATCCGGTGACCAGCTCTGGGATATCTCAGCCACACGAGTCCCGTCACAGCTCCAGGAGAGCCCTCAGCCACCAGACAGCGAGGAGATTCAGCATGCTCTGGCATCCTGCCGTCTACCCCACTGATGCCCCACTGTTAACGCTGCAGCTACAAAAGCAATGCTTAGTGCTTCCTGAAAGTCTTCTCTGTGTGAGAAGACTGGACATTAGCATTTGTTTCAGAATCTGTCTACCAGCTTTTTTATTCCTCCCCCCCCTCCTCCTCCTTCTCCTCCTCCTCCTCCTCTGGTATAAAAAGATTATAATCTATTAGCTCTTACAGATGAAAATTCATTAGTTTAATTTCCAACTTAGTAATCCCACTTCCTAAGGGTGTGTGCTGGAATAGCTAGTCAATCTTGACAGGTTTAAATAGCATAGGCTTGTGCTTCCGATTTTAAATAGGAAAATTACTACATTCATTTTGATACAACTAAAGGTAAATATCATTCTAGCTAAGTTAAAATAATGTTATTTTAAGCAGGATTACATATAATCAGCAGTATAGAAATGGATTATATATGAGCAATAGTATAGGTGAGAGTGTTTTGGCACAGATAATTGTCTCAGGACCATAAATACTTGATTACTAAAAGCCACAAAATATAATATAAAGGTTTTCTTCTTCAGATCCTTTGTGTAATTCTATGTAATTTCCTCTGACTTTCTTTTTTTCAATTTCTTCAACGGAAACTTTGTAAACATTTTAGATGAGCATAAAACCTCATCTAAAGGTTTTCTGAGTTCAGCTTTAGCCACATTTCTTCATTGATGTTGTGTTGCAGATTTCTAAAAATAATCCTATCAATTTAGCCCTTTTTGTCCATCTATTTCTGTGGTAGAACCTATCCCATGCCATTGAAATCAAGGGGTTTATTTCTGGGTGGGGAACTTGGGACTCTAGTCCTCAGAAGCTCATCTATTTGGGGGATAAAGCAACATTGTCACAGGGCTTTACTGAGGCCCATCTGACATTGCACAGAGTGCAGGCAGGTTCATCCTGCAGTCTTGCTGTCAGCTATGGGTACCATTCATACCACAGAATGCCTTGGATATTGAATTCTCATAAGTAATTCAAGTCCCGGCTCTTTCCAGATAGATTGTGGATCGCTGATGGCAAATTTTCTTCTAGAGTATATTGTATGACTAACATGAAGTTGGAATTACTTTTTGAACATTTAACTCTGTGAACACATGCATGTGCATGTACATGTGTGTATCCGTGCGTGCGTGTGTGTGCCAGTCCTGGAGCTTGATTGAACTCGGGTTGAGTGCTGTCCCTGAGCTTTTGTTCTCAAGGCTAGTTAGTGCCCTACCATTTGAGCCACAGTTCCACTTCCAGCTTTTTTTGGTAGTTTATTGGAGGTAAGAGTCTCATGGACTTTGCCTGCTTGGCCTGGCTTTGACCTGTGATCCTCAGATCTCAGCCTCCTGAGTTGCTAGTATCACAGATGTGAGCCACCGGTATCTGGCTATATAGCTATGTTTAAGTGGAAATGCAGGCATCTCTTGCAGTGAGAGGTTAAGCTGCGGTAACATTATTGTCTCGGTAGCAGCCCTAGCCACCCCTGGATGAAACCCATCATTTTCCAAAGCATACATTTTGTTGGCGGGGACATACGGTTTCGGATTCTCTGGTTGTGTAATTTATGGTCGACATCAGAACTTAAGTTTCTAGACCATTCCACAGCTTTATCCTTCCCCACCCCACCCCATGAACATTTATGAGGGAAGCATTTTACGCTTAGGTCTTAGCTAAGGCTTTCTAGGGAGAGATAAATGGACACTATCATATTTTAATGTGGTAGCTGCAGGGTCTTCAGATTAAGCTCCTGCCAATGACGATCTCTTCCCAGACTGACAGGAGGAGGAAATACAAGTGATTATAAACCAATCAGATGTAGTCCTGCTTGCAATTCTCCATGGACTGCTACAGTGCCTTCAACAGCGTACTGGGGCCTGGAGATGAATGGCCCTGGTACAGACGTCAGTGTCAACAATCACTGTGTGATTGTTACCTCTGTCCCAGAAGGTCAAAGCCCTCCCTCTCCCCTCCCTTCCTCTCTCCCCTCCCTGCCCCCCCAGTAATAGAAAAATAGTTAAATGAATTGTTTTTTCTTCATGTATAACTGAAGGAAAGGAAAATTGAAGGAAGGAATATATACATGACATTATATGCATTTTATTATCCCACAACTGATTAATATTATTTCATGAAAAAAATATTTTTTTCCTTGAAGATAATTGAGATTTTTATTCACTTCCTTAGAAGTACTTATAAGAATAAGATCAGGCCTAGGGTTAAATAAAACCTTGTCAATGACTGCTTATTTCTAGTTGCTGTTTTCAAGCAATATTTAATTTATAAGCATATGTGTCTGACAAAATTCTAAAATAGCTTAATGATTCAATTAACCATTAAATGGAAAGTGGGAAGAGTTACTTCTTTTACTTCAGTGCAGAAAGTAGAGGATAGCTGTTTCATTGACCATGGTAAGAACTATGGTAGAAAAGTAGAACAGCAGCGATTAGCTCTAGTTTGTCTGTTTTCAAGTCAATCTATTCTAAACCATTTGTTTAATTTTTTAAAGCAAGAGCTGCTAAGCTATACTCGGATTAAACATGCCCTGGAGTGGAAGTATTTTAAGAACTCCATGTGTCTCAGAAATTTAACAAAGCCTGGTTGCTAATTTAGGGCATACTCTGTACTAGAATGATAGATATCACTTAGTTTAAATGACCACAAGAGGCAACAAGTGGTTATGGAGGGTTCCAGTCTGATAACTGGTTATCCTTGGCCGGGGGGGGGGGGCGAGGGGGAAGGGGGTAGTGGTGGCAGCAGAGCCAATGGCTAGAGGACAGGCGTGTCATGGTGCTGGCTTCTGGATTTTATGGCTTTTACCTTCAGAACAGACCCTTGTTTACTCACTCCGAGGAAGCTCAGCTTGGCAGGACTCCTACTAACGTACTGAGGAGGCATCAGCAAAGCCTGTCAGATCACACAAAACTGTGACCTGACGGGGACAGCCAGGACAAGGGACAGAAGAAACGCAAGTAATGTTGCTCATAAACTCCGTGCAAGTCTCCCGATGAGTACTGAATATTACCTGTGTCCATGAACGCAGCACAACATGAAGAAGCTGGACAGAGATTTCAGCTTCTGCCTACCTTTAGGGAAACAGAGTTGGGGCTAAATTAAATGCATATATATATATATATATATATATATGTATGTATGTATATATAAATTCTTCTTGGGATCATAACACAATCTGGAGTCTTTATGATAGATCATTGCTTTTAATTAATAAAAATTTATAGGCATCCCAAGGGGTCTCAGATCCACTCTAAGGTGCCACAGATGTTGCCATTAGCTGTCTGGGAATTTTGAACTGCCTTGAACAGCCCGAGAACACAAACAGAAGCATGGTTTGCAGTGTAGTAACACGTAGGGGTTGGCAGCAGAAAAATTGAGACTGTACACTAGGACTGAAAACTATGTGGTCATTATATGTGATCCTTATTGAGAGAAACAAATGTTGAAACTAAGAAAACCCACTGGGTCTATTTTAGAGAAGAGTTTAGATACAAATGAGTCAGAGACATTAATGATAGATGAATGGAAATCATCTGATTTAAAAACTAGGAGGGAAAGCTTCAGATAGTTGGCTGGAGCTTCAGAGTCTCATGGGAACATGTAACAATGTACCTGGAGTTTTGGGAAGAGCAGAGAGACAAAATAGTCTGGGGAAGACAGGAGAGAGCAAACAGAATGACAGATTACTCCAGGAGCAAAGGGTTGAGGTTTATCCAGAGTTGGTGAAAGATATAAATGTATGTGGTTTCCGAAAGCTCAGCTCATCCCAGGGAGCCGGATACAAAGGTATCCATGCCTGGGGACAAAACCAGCTGCCCAAAACCTGAGTGGGGAGAGAAGAGTTTGGAAACGGCAGCAGGCAGCCACAGCTGCGTGGAGAGCGGCAGCGTCCACAGACAGCTAATAATTTATCAGGAGTCACTGAGGCCCAAAGACAGGAAACGGATGCTGTGTGTGTGTGGGATGGGGAGAGGAAGAAGGGGAGAGGCAAGTAGAGCGAACAATGCAATCATATCCATTCTGCTGTTGCATTTTTTCATGAGAGTATATATTAGCTGTGCAAGGGAGTTGCATTGGGCCATGCACGCATGCCTCCTGATCAGACTCACCTCCTCTCATCCTCCCTCCCAGATGCCTGCAAGCATTTCCACAAGCCTCAGTGCCCCATTTCATACGCGTGCTAAGCACTTGGCATATGTCCACTCTCATTCACCCTCTCCCTTCAGCACTACCCGCTGGTTCTCACCTGCACCAGAATCACGTCTGCTTTCCTGTCATTATTTCATGTATGAATGTGGTAATTGCACAGGGGGGTTGCTATGTTGGTACTGTGCCCATTCTTGACTAACTTGCACCAGAAGCTTTACATCACTTTTGATGGCACACATTAAGAATTAGTCACAAACTCACATCTGAATTATTGAGGCCAAGTAAATATTGAGTAATGGTGCCTAAGACAATGAGGAATCTGGTGAACCTTTAAACATTACTGTAGTCACAGCAGACAGATTAAAATGTAATTTAATTGCAAAAGAAAGCTCCAAATTTGATTAAATCACAGTGGAATAAAGTGACATAGAAAATGTTGGACAAAAGTAAACCAAAATAGAATCTCCTTCGTGGTATCAGTTGACATCAATTTATATCATTGCATCAGTTTATATTAGAGATGGTTCACAGGGAAACTGGACCAGTGTGGGAAATGCCTTCAGGCAAATGATCTGACAAGTGTGGGAAATGCCTCAAGGCAGAGATCACTCACCAAACGATTCAAGAAACTTGTTTCCCTTGAGATATACAGGACTTTTTAATATCAAGATATATGGGACTTTCTTTAAAATACTTTTCTCCTACCCTGGTGTTTGAGTGGAAGCCTCATATGAGAACTATTTCATTTATCACCAGGCGCTGGATGAACCAATCAGGACCGAGAATGTCTCCAAGGACAGCGTGTTAGGCCTTCCTGTGGAGGTATGATGTCACTTCTTGTGGAGGGATGACTTCACTTCCTGTGGAGGGATGACTTCACTTCCTGTGGAGGGATGACTGCACTTTAGGCCTTCCTGCCTGTGGAGGGATGACTTCCTGTGGAGGGATGACTGTAGCTTAGGCCAGGTGCCTGTGGAGGGATGACTTCCTGTGGAGGGATGACTTCACTTCCTGTGGAGGGGTGACTTCACTTCCTGTGGAGGGATGACCGCACTTTAGGCCTTCCTGCCTGTGGAGGGATGACTTCCTGTGGAGGGATGACTTCCTGTGGAGGGATGACTTCACTTCCTGTGGAGGGGTGACTTCACTTCCTGTGGAGGGGTAACTGCACATTAGGCCAGCTTTCTGTGGAGGGATGACTTCCTGCGGAGGGATGACTTCCTGTGGAGGGGTGACTTCACTTCCTGTGGAGGGGTGACTTCACTTCCTGTGGAGGGGTGACTTCACTTCCTGTGGAGGGCTGACTTCACTTCCTGTGGAGGGGTGACTTCACTTCCTGTGGAGGGGTGACTGCACCTTAGGCCAGCTTTCTGTGGAGGGATGACTTCCTGCGGAGGGATGACTGTAGATGGCTCTGCGTCGGGCCTGCAGGCGGGAAACTCCTTGCTAACCCGCACCTGGTCTCCCCTCTTCCAGTTGTGTTCTCCCGCACAGCTGAGGCAGCAAACGGAAGCAGTCTGTGCTGCCATCGATAAGGTCTTACAGGATTCCTTGTCTATGGTAATGCCGTAGTCTAGAATGGGCCGCCTCAACATTTGCTTCGCTTCTCTTCGTTTCCCTCTGTGTTGCACAATTCCTCACAGGCCTGTCCTTTTCTCTCCTTCCCGCCTTCCCTCCTTTGTTTTCCAGCATTCTCCTGATTCTCCTTCAAAGTCCCTAAAGATAATGTTGGGTTCTGAAACAATCAAAGTATGTATATATTTAATACAATTTATTGAACCATAAGATTTAGTTGATGGTGAATTGAGGTGCTATATAATAGATTGGGGAATGAATTAACTAGTTAGTAATCAGTAAACAGCAGTGTGTTAGTTGAAACTTCGGTTTTAGTGTGCTTACATGTAAGCATATAAGAGGAATGAGTATCCACATGCAGAAACAGTGAGATCTTTTTCTGTAGGTCAAGTTCAAGCTCTTTGGGATGTGAAAACTGGAGGGCAGCTTGGGAAAGGTTAGACTGTGCCAGCACACTAGACTTCATGCTGGATGTTGCTGCTTCATGGCTTTTCATTTGGCACTTGTGACTGATACTGATCTCAAACCATAGCTTTGCAATGAATGTAATTATGGCTTCTTAGAATTACAAAGGTAGAAAACGAACTACACTAACATAGCCCCTGATAGCTTTAATATAGGTGTTACATCTGCGCTACTTCTTTGTTTTACTGGCTGGATTTGTTTTATCCTACTTTGGCTTAGAGAGAGACCCTGGATGGGTTGGATTGTTGGAGTATTACTGAACTCTACACTGTGTTTGTCCATTCTTTCTTACATGCAGTGACTTATTTCACATTTGACCTCTCTCATCTAATACGCTATTGGTCCATCCAAGTTGTTACAATTTGATTTCATGACTGGATAGCATTCTGTTGTGTATGTTTACTACATTTTCTCTGTCAGTCCATTTGTTAAAGGATGTTTAGGTTGGTTCCATATGCTAGCACTCCAAATAATGCAGTAGTAACAGAGACCCAGGATATTTTCAACATTCGTTGAGTAGATAAACAACAAAGGGGTACTGGATCATGCTGCAGTTCTAGTTTTAGTTTTTTGAGGAAGCTCAGTACTTTATTATTTTTTCTACCACAAGTGGGGAGTCTTTGTGTGTGTGTGTGTGTGTGTGTGTGTACTGGGGCTTAAACTCAGGCCCTGGGCATTGTTGCTTACATTCCTCCCCACCCCCAAGACTAGGGTTCTACCACTTGAGCCACAGCTGCACTCCTGGCTTTTTTTGTGTGGTTACTTGGGGTAAGAGTCTCATACACTTTCCTGTCTAGGCTGGTTTGGATATAACTGCAATCTTCAGATCTCAGACTCCTGAAGAGTTAGGATCAGAGGCACCTATTTGTGGAGATTTTGTGATCCATGTTTATGAGAGTATTTTAGTTTTGTCGTGTCATTGAAAGTTAATTCTGAATGTAAATGGTAGAGCTTCTCTTGTCCATATTTTCCTAGGATCTCTTTCTTGAGCAAGATACCTATGCAGCATTTTCTGAACATGTATTTGTTCTTCTGCTGGAATGGTCATTTCCATAGTGGATTTGCAAGTTCCTACAGTTTCAGCTCCATGAGTGGCATTGCCGATGTATTCTGTATGGTGTCTAGCTGTCCCTTTTCATCTTTTCCTGAAAATGTTTCAATCATTTCCCTCTGAGACGTTTACAGAACTAGCTTTGTCCATTTTGATTCTGTATTCCATGTCTCTTATTCTTTGTACTTTTACTTTATCACTTCGAGATGATTATGTGATCTGAAATTTTAGTGTAGGAATTTGTCCTATGACTCTTCTGTTTTCAACCCTGTATAATAATTCTCATAGCTTATTTGGTTTTGATTTTAAGCTCCAGTTGGCTGAGGTATAATATAACCACTATAGAAGTTACCCTCTTTTTCCTTTTTCAGCCCTGTAAAATTTGACAAAAACACATAGCACATGCAAGATGCCAAGTGTCTCCTCCCATGGATAGGTCCCGGGGCCCGGTGGTGACTGGTCCCCTGCCTCTCCCAGCACTGAGAAGCCGTTGACCTTTTTTCTTTTCTGTGTTTTTTTTCCCCCTCCCTTTTCAAGAATAACATAAATAGCCAAGCGTGGTCTCACACACCTACAATCCCAGCAGTCTGGGTGTTGAGCCGTTAGACTTACGAGTTGCAAGCCAGGTTGAGCTCCCCAGGGAGACCCTGTCTCGAACGAGAGTGACAGCTGAATGTTGTAGGCGCAGGTCATGTAGTAGAGAGTCCCGGAGGCCTGTGCTGTGTGGACGTGACAGTCCTGACTGTGACAGTATCCCTGTGCTCGAACCATCGCACATGCACCTACCCCTTACCTCGCATTTGGGCAGGTGGCCTCTCGCTTAGGTCTGCTGCCAGGGTGGATGTTAAGGCTATTTTTACACAAGCCCTAGTGTGGATATCTGATTCCATTTTTCTTGAAGGACAGAATGGCAAGGGTGTGTCCTTTGATTCTGTTTGCCTGTTTTCCACTATTTTCTCGTGGAAGCTCGAGCATTTCTAAGGCATATCGTCTAGCTTCCTGCTCTTAGGTGCCGTGCATGGAGTGGCTGGCCATGCGGCCTTGGCTCAAGGCTTGGACAATTCTGGTGTGGTTCCCGTACTTCTTAAGGGAAGATGCTTCCCAGGACCAACCCGGGGCCCCGCGGCTCGCTGCCCACCGGGGCTGGCCCTGGCCGCCTCCGCCTCCCTTCGCTTCTGCGCCCTGTCTGTCAGCTGCGGATCGGCTCTCGCTGCTGACACTCAGTGGCAGAGTCCGTAGCAAGCCATGCAGTCCAGTCCACGGTCTTCCCCTCCTCAAACCAAAGGGCTTGGGGACAGGATCCGTGAGGATTTCTTTGTTTTTTCCTTCTTTTATCTTGGCAGTTTCTGCTTTGACCCTCTGCCTCCTTCCTTTTCCTCCTCTTCTCTAATCCTGCCAAGTGTTCTGAGAAGGCAGATGATATGTAGAAGAAGGACAGTAGAAGGGTATGTAGAAGAAAGCAGTTGAAACCCAGAGAACAAAGTCAGGAAGCACTGCTGGCCAGTGTTGACTTGAGAAGCAGAGAGTGAAATGGAGGTGCATGTAGGATCCAGGAAGCAGTCTGTGTTTTCCTCTCTTGAAGCTGCTAATGGCGAGGTCAGGTTGCTGCCCTGGCGGGAGGTACGGGTGGTGCAGAGGAATGGGAGATGCTGAGAGAAGTCCTGTAGACTAGGACTCCAGGACGTCTCCGAGTCACATCTTCATAGGCAAACTTTGCCATCAGGACTCAATTTAGAAGTTGGATGGCCACTGAGATGGCGCTGTTCACAGTGACAAAGTGTGAGGATGAAGTTGTTATAGACATAAAGGACGAGACCACCCCTGCACCCGTGTCAAGAAGTAGCACGAGGTGCCCCCTGTGAGCCGGAAAATGGCCACATCGCACACCGAACCTGCCAGGGCCTTGAATCTCTGTCTCCGGGGCTGGGAGAAACATTTCTATTGCTACTAAGCCGCCCTGGGTATGGTGTTTTGTTGAAACAGCCCTGGAGCGGGGAGGGAAGCAGGCCTTCCTCAGCTGTGTAAATCTGTGCTCAAAAATCTCCTTTACTACGTGGACCTTCACGTTTGAAACACAATCCCTGAGCTCTCCCGGACTCGGCAGCCTCTCAGTGCTTGCATAGTGCACGATATTGTTGATGAGCAGAGGAAAAAGACACTGGAAGACTCTGTTGTCTACTGTTGAGCATTGCACTTATGCCCTAGATAATATGCTGACTATTTTAGTGTGTTTTAGACTATAAGCTCCCTGAGTGCAGGATGGCTTTGCTTCTGTGTTTACCGGCTCACCTCAGGGTGGACGTGGGGTCTGTCACACTGAATGTTTGTTGAATGTCTGAATGAAACAAATAGCCGTGCCATCTCAGAAAAGTGGGTTTACCTGGGAAGTGTAACCGGCACCGTTGAATGCTCAAAGCTGAGCACCACCAGGGTTAAAACGAACCAACGTGTGCAGTGGAGAGCTTCTCCAGAGGGGGCGCGCACCAACGTGTGCAGTGGAGAGCTTCTCCAGAGGGGGCGCGCACCAACGTGTGCA